TGGTGAAATTCTCTCCATTCTTTCTTCCAAGTCTGTGAGTCTCATTTCATGTGTCCCATTTACAGGAGTAAAATTAGCATGTTCTCTAGTCACCATTTGGCTCATGACTCAATGTCACTATAAAAACCATTTTAGCAGCTTCATAGGCCCAGCTTCTACAATACATCGATGTGGAACACTCCGATTTGTTTAATATAGGAGACGTAAGTACATACTTTTATAGACTTTGGGAACCTATCTAAATCTATAAATTATACTAGAGTAAAACCTTCTGGTTTATTTTCTCAAATAATTTGTGTATATGGTATTAGAAAAGATAAAGGGCACAAACAAGGAAAAGACCAACATGAATCATATATTTCAGTCTAGAAATCAATCATACAAAGCAAAAATTCTTAGAGCACAGCATTATGATGCTTCTGTTATTTCAGAGTGAGAAAGTGAGGTTTTTTAAGGGGAAAAAGAAACAGAAAGCTTAGTTCTTATTCATGAATTTTGATTAAAATTTTAAATGTCAATTTTTGAGACTTAAGATTTAAAATTTAATCTAAATTTTGAATAGGTCAGTATTTAAATAATAAAAGGTCTTTTTCCTTCTCCCATCAGGATTTAAATATTACTATAATTGGATATTTTGCATAGTTGGGTAAGAAAAAAAATACCCAGCATATTTCCTTATCTATATCTAACACTAATTTTTTCATGTCTAGAAAGTTCTAATTTTAGCAATGAAAACAGGAAACTCTAGTGAGAAATGAAAGTCCACTTTTTGTTTAGTTTTTATGTTTTTTTCTATTTATTTTTATAAGGTCACAATATATGCTAATTGCTATTTTATTAAACTTCTATCAGTTGCTGACATTTATTTGACTTTTTTTGGAACTTCTTTCTATTATTTGTGTGTGAATATCTGTAAAACATAGATTTTGGGGACAGTTCTCCAGTATTTCAAAACAAAAGTACTTATTAGTCATCTGTATAGTGATATATTTCATGTAAAAGATATTTCTGGATCTCAGGTAGTTGTTATCACTAAATAAAACTGTTATTATTATAAATTATTATATATTATTATTATATATTATAAATTATTATTACTACAATAAGTATAATGGCTACTGTAATTAGAAGCCTGGTACTTAATTTCTGTGTTCCAGGTGTAGAATTGGGTTCACATCAATCTAATAAATATATTTTTAAAATATTCAGGAGAGGGGATGTTCATAGGAATAAGTTCTTCTCACAGTTGTTCATATTTTCTTTTATGCAATCCAAATGAAATTTATGTAAAGTCCATTTAAAAGAAAAGCACAACATACAGTCATATCTTTCATAGTCCCATTTTCCCTTGCATGTGTTCTTAACCTGGGAGTGTACTATGTCAAAATCTATTGTTGATTCCTCTCATAAGTAGAATTGCCACCACTAGAATATTTTAACATTCCCAAATATGCCGATTTCATATCACCACTTTTCTCTGCTTTATTATTGAATTATTGATACTTCATATTATCTTAAAATTATTACAAGCAAAATTAATTAAATAAAACCCCCACATGTATTATTATAGCAGTCTACTGAGAAAAATATTAATAGAACAAAACAAGGACATGAATTACAAAATAAGATCTGGGTTTATGTCATAGTTTTGTGTATGATTCAGAGGTCACTAAAAGTCTTTGAGATGTATTTTCTTTGTCTGAAAAATCAGGACTTTTTTCCCTACTTTATGACATTGTTACCAAATGAGAAATAATTGTACTTTTATTTAAAGCCTATTTCTTGAAATGCCATAAAAAGAGATTAACAGTGGAAATGACTGGAGTTTATTCTTCTACCTTCACCTCCCTTAAAGTATATAAGTATATAAGATATACTTTGCCCATCTGATGTGCATTTTCAGTTGTAAACCTTTAAAGTAACAAATACTAAATACTGTCTTAGTGTTATAGATAATAAAAATATCTTTACAACCAATAGCATTGAATTACTCCAAGGTCAAAAATTTTATTCAAACACCAACTTCCTCATGGAAATAACCGGGTAAAGTAGAAAAAGTAAGATAGAACTTGATAGACCTAAATCCCAGGCAATTATTACTTATGTGAAGATTAGCAGATCACTTGAATTATCTGATTGTGATTCTTCAACTGTAAAAATTCTAGATTGACATAGATCAATGTTGAATAATTTAATACAATCAGAAAGCAGGAGAATTTTCTGTGGCTACTGATGAAAGGCAAGTAGTATGTTTCTTTTTCATTTGTCATTTCTAGTCAACATACTTTTATTCAGCATTATTTGCAAGTGACTCTGCTAGGAATTGTGATTGAAATATAAACAAAATGCAATTCCTGTCTTGATAGAGTCTGTAATCTGTCTGGAAGGAGAGGTAACCCTAATGTTGGCTAGAATGTAAGTAACTTGTCCAGGCAAAAATCAGACTCACACAGTTAGAGAAGAATTAGGGAAAAGTGGTAAAAGAAAGACTCTGTTTGGGCTGAATTTTGAGGGCTAAGTCCATTTCAACAAGCAAGTTTGTTGAGTAAAGGCATTTCAAGTGGAGTAAAAAACTTGAGCACCAGCAGGAAAACTCTGGAAAAATATTGTGCATTATTCTACAATATACCAAGTATAAGAGTAAATGGTTGAAGTAAAACAACAAAAGTAGTTCCTAACCAGATCATGGAATGCCTTAAAAGAAATGTTAAAAATTCAGAATGTGTTTTACACATCGTAGGTTAGATTTTGTTGAATGGGCCAAAAGTCACTCTTGTGGCAGCATGACCAAGTCAAGGAGAATCTTGGGGAATGGGAGCACTCAGCCACAGTCCTCCAGTAAGAGCCCCCTGTATTTTACAGAGAATAAATATGAGTGACATCAAATAAAATGATTAACTGGCAAGTGAATAGATGTTGATGTTGAGGGAGAGAGAGAAATGAAAATTTCTACAAACATAGTATGTCATGTTAATGTAAAGTGGGTGATGTCATTAGAGATGGAAGGAAATAAAATCAACAGCACATATTAAAAAGGAAAATCTCAATTCATCCAGAAGAGAAAGAAAATCCACAGACATGTTTGGAAAAGGAGAACTCATAGCAGAAGTCCTTTATCTTTTCAAAAAAAGGAAGACACAGAGTCATATTTTAAACAGTTGGTGTCTTGTGTGTGGACTGGAAAGGGCTGGGAATCCTTCCTGCAGAGAATAAAAAAAGGAAGAGTCAACTGGAGGGGAACAAAAGCATTTCTGCACAAGTGTAGTATATACTAATAATAGAATCAGAACTTTCTAGGTGAGCCAGTTGGCACAATTTTGTGTCTTTTTCTGGCAACACTCAGTCCCCAGTAGTGAGAACAGAGAAAGTATACCGTGGTGTTTTCCCAAGAGTGAAGCGTAGATTGGAAGGCAATCATTACAATAAATCGTAGGAATTTCTTGGTGCTAATAATAAGCTAAAATAACCGATGGGCAACTGACTAATATAATGGTGGACCTAGGTAGACTAAAACTAAAAATATTAATAGGAATTAAAGATGGGATCGGTGTGAAGAACTAATCCATTAAGAGGAAGGAAGGAAGGAAGGAAGGGAGGGAGGGAGGGAGGGAGGGAGGGATGAGGGGGAGGAATGGAGGGAGAGAGGAAAGCTATGGCCAGAGAAGAGAATTTCTAAATTTAGGATTTTAGAAGTGAGGTAGTTCTGAGTATTCATTGTTTAGATACCTTTGCTTGAAGGTATTATCACATTTTGCAGCTGCTTCAGTTTCCTAACAATGTAAGAATAAGGCGCTCAATTGCATTTCTGAAATTCACTCCATGACTTAGTGGCAGAACAAGGACCAGAACCCAAGTTCCAGGTGCTTCACTGTGACAAAATATCTGAGCTAAACAACTTGTACAAAGGAAAAGTTCATTCTGGCTCATGGTTTCTGAAGTTTCAATTCATGTCCTACAGATTCTTTTTCCCTTAGGTCTATGGTACGCCAAATACATCATGGCAGGAGAATGTGGTAGAGGACAACTGCTCACCTTATGACTGAGGCCAAAAGAGAGCAAAAGGAGTGTCAGGGTTCAAATATACCCTTTCAGCGCATGCCTGAAATGATCAAGCTTCCTTTTATTAGGCCCTATGTCCTAAAGGTTCTACCACCTCCCAGTAGCACCACAGCTTGGAACCAAGTTGTTAACAACACATGGTCTTCAGGGGGACATTCAGTATCCAAACTTTAGCAGACTTAAAGTATGTATATCACCAAATTTTTTGTGAAAAATCAGTTTTATTGATTTTGCAGATTCAAACATTTTATTTTAAAGATATCATCAAGAAGATTTGTCATTCCTGTCAAGCTAATGGGGGCAAAGAAGTTGTCTTCCTGGGTTGAAGCAGTATTTTATCACTGGCAGGGATTGCTGCTACATGGTGATAATAAAAAACGAACTATATTAGGTCAATTTCTTTAACATTCATAGACTATGGATAGCACACTTGCTTAATTCTTACCCCCCTATGTTGGTTGAACCACTTCTACTTGACTCTACCTCTGATTCTAAAATCTCTCTGTGACTGAAGACTGGCTAAAATGGCATTAGAAAAAGAGAATTTTATTATCTAAACCAGATATCAACAAAATATGTCATGAAAGCTAAATTTGGCTCTCTGCCTGTTTTTTTTGTAAATAAAAAAAATTAAAAAATGTTTATTACATCTGTGTATTGTCAATGGCTACTTTTACATTATTAGTACAAAATTAAGTAATTGGAATAGAGATCCTATGTTCCACAAAGCCTAAACATTTACTACTAGGCCTTCACACAACAAGCTCCCCAATCTTTGATTTAAATACTTAGCACAAGAATCAAAGCACTCCTTGTTTTGTGAACATGTAAACCATAGTTTCACATTCATATTACAGACCAACAGTTTAATAAGTGTTTCTGTTAAATGTCTACTATTGACTACCATTATATTTACCTATTAATTTTCCTCTTTTTTATAGTCCCTGCTATGTGGATATTTGTTAGCAATGACTGATGTGGAAACTACATATGCAGATTTTATTGCTTCGGGAAGAACAGGTAGAAGAAATGCAATACATGATATCCTGGTTTCCTCTGCAAGTGGCAATAGCAATGAATTAGCCTTGAAATTAGCAGGTCTTGATATCAACAAGACAGGTGAGTCATTTCATATACATTTCTCTATGAACATAGAATGATATGCAGCATTTCACTAAGTAGGACTGAGGCATAAAAAGCCACCTTTGAAAGTAATCCAATAGAAAGAGTTAGAAATAGACTAGGGCAAGATGAAAGTATATGACTACTTTCTGAATCACTCCCACTTTGTTTTTGATGACTTTTCTTTACAGTTTCCCACTCAAATGCAGAGTCTTTACTCTGACTTATTAATATAATTAATAAAACACATGGCTTTTATTTTAGTCCTAATTTCTATAAAAGCTCTGTAGTTGCTTATGTAGCACATTTAACAAAGTTGGAGCTCCTACATTAATGATATTGGCCCCTTCTAACTTTACCAGGCAGATATTTAATAGATTCTTAAGTGAGTCTGACGGACTTCAGTTCTAGAATAATTTCAGAAGAAAAGGTCTCAGGACCAGTTTTATTAAGGATGGAAATAAAATAGCTTGTTAAATAAGTAACTCTTAGATAAAAAGGGTTTTTGGTTTTTCTTTCATAATTAAGTGAGCTTGTAAAAAATATCTTATTACTGGACTTTAAATTCTTATCCAAGGAGTTTGACTTCACCAATGACAAACAAAAACAAGTTTAATAATTAAAATTTTTGATAGTCTTACTTTTAAAAGTATTAGAATAAGCTCCCTGTTAGTTTCTCCATCTGTAGCTTTTTCAAATATCAAAACTGAATGTGTTTATTTGAGAAGACTTATGCAAAAAATAACACTTAAAATTGAAAAGAATTCACAATTAAGCCATATTGTTTTGTCTGTGGGAAAGCACTTATCAGTTGCTGATTCCACTTATAACATTCATATGTTTTCACTATTAGAATTTCTCTGACAAAGCCTTCAGTTTGTCAGAAAACTAAGTCTATATATGCGTTAATGAAGCAACTCAGCAACCAAGACCTAAAATACAAATTTTATTCAATGGCTAAATGTCAGTAGGTCACAGATACAACTTTTCAATTTAAGATTAATAATAAAACTTTAACATCACCACTTTGGAATATAAAGACCTTTAATATTTTAGGTTTCATTGCTTCTCTACTATAACGAAACATAGTTACTTCTCAAAGCAGTTCTGAGAAAGACTTTAGAAAACTTATTACAATTTGGTGTCATAAAATGAGTAAATACATTTTTAATTTGTTTTTGAGAATTTGTTCATTTTTTATCATATTTATATTTTCATGTTTACATTAATATTCTATTTTTAATAATTTTAGCCACTCTTAATATTTATGACATTTTTAATCACAATAATTTAACTTCTTCTTTTTTCCCTGAAATTAAGACTTGTTAGTATGAAGACCTTTCTTATTAATTAATCAATATAACATTATTTAAATTATATGAATACTTATAAGTAACAAATGATAATAAGATTTTGTTAATATATAAATAAAATAATTTGACACATATTTAAGTATCTAATTACACAATTTAAAATAAACCAGATATCTTCATGCTGCCAAATGCCTCCTTTTCTAAATGTTTCTACAATGTTAATTGCAATTCCCTAGGTCCTTGCAAAATTTTCTGTTTCTTTTCAAGTCATGAAGTCTAGAACTAAGCAAATTATCAACAGCTACAAAAAAATAACTATATAATATGTAAGCATAAAATATAGAAAAAGAAAAATATATAATTGCAAATTTAATATTGCTGAGAATTCTATGAATTCCTTTGTAATTTCTAAGTGTTCCACTTCATTTTAGTTTATACTCAGTAATATTGCTACCTATGTTTACCTTGGTTTGTTAACAAACATCTATTTGGCTACAGTTTGTTTGCAACATAATGTCCCCTGTCACCTAGAAAGTCCCAGTCCTCATGGGAGTCAAGTTTCTCATCTTCTATTTTATGCAGTCTTTGTTACCCTTAAATATTGTACTATCTTACATCAGCCTCAATTTGATTTTATTCATTTGGTTAACAAGATCTTCTCCTTTTTATCAAATTATTCTTGCATGCTAATCTACACATCTCAGATTCAGGCCATTTGCACATCTTGGAATCCTGTTCATTACTTTAACAATACAAATAGTGTACAAACAATGATAACTAATGCCTGGTCATATCCTTAGTGCAGATTTAAAACAGAATGTGATTTTTATGTAGAAGAACAACTTTATTTTTCCTTAAGGATTTATTGTCACTAGAGATTGGTGAAATGTTTTGTGTGTACCTTCTAAGAGTAAAGAGTAATTGGCTTTAAACTTTATAGCCTAAAGAATGGACCTATGTAATTATCTTCATTCATTGAATTGTGATAACAGATTGCTAGCATATAATTTGTGTCATGTAACACCCCAAAATATTTTTCCCACCAAGCCATATTGGTCTCTCAGTAACCAAATGACACATTGAGATATATGAATGTTTTGAGTTAAGGAATGCCTACAGCTTGCTTGCAAAGTGAACTAATCTGAAGTGAAAGCATTGTTTAGTTTCAGTGTGTGCAATGTTACTGACTAAGGTTGCTGCTGTAGGTACAGTTATGAGGGGTAGTATTAGAACTGTGCATATATTCTCTAAGGGCAGGCCAGGGGCCACTGTAACTGTAGGAGAAGAGACAGACCAACTGACCTAATGTCCTTTCATTTTCTACCATAACTTTTAATTTAAACTAATGGAATTTCTGATAAATCAGTTGAGTTAATTCTAAGTATTATCAATAATGAAATATAGTTTTTAAATATTTCATCAAATACGACAAACATTAAAAAGTAAATATGTTCCTACTTCTGATATCTGCTTAAAGACAGTACTGACTTCTGCATCCTGTAAAGCTACCTTTAAGTGGCATGACTTGGCCATGATACTTCCTATCTATTTATCAAAATCATAACTGATTGCTGTTACAGATCTGTAAGCCTTCTGGAAAAGTGAGGCATCAGGAAGATCCCTTCTCCTCTTCAAATCCCATTTGTCGCAATCAAATCAGAAAGATTTCAAACATACTACTCAGAGTAACAGGCATGAGTTTACTGAAGGGAAAGGGATACTCCCAGGGGAGAGGGTGTGTGTGGGTCCTCTCAGAAAGAAGAGGAACAGCATGTCTCTCCTACACTTCAGCCCAGAGAAGTTTCCAGATAGTACCACCCAGGTCCACTTCTTGACTTTTGACTGATAGCAGGATGACATCGAACTTTCAAGTCCCCACTGCCATGATAACTCTAGGTCACTTTGGACTATGCTGACTCATTCTAATTGGATACTTAACCATAAATTCTTACAGATTTTATAGTTAAAAGGAATTAGCCTTATCTCCCTGGGTTTGGGGATCTGGTCCATGGAAAGGATCACAAAATTCTTCCCATTCAGAGTAACTTGGTTCATCTTATTGACATTATTTTGGGCCTGCATTTCTCCTGTAGATAACAGGTAGTTTGCTGAGGAATGTGACATATCCTGTCCACTTAGGCCAGGCAGGGCTGCAGGTAAATTGCTTCTTGGAAAAGAAAGCATGTGGGGGTCAGCACAATGGGCCCATTTAATAAAATTATTCCCTTAACCTCATGTTCACATCTGTCCCCTGTCAATCACTAGTAACTCCAAAAATTCAAATATTATTATATTTTTGAGTCATGGTGTCCTAACTTCACAGAATAAGCCAGGCTTTCAAAACGTATGCTACATCCTTAATGGTGAACTCTGACCACCAAGAAAAGGCACTTGTCTGTATGAAGATTTTGACTTCTTTTGTATGTCAGAAGATCCAGTATGACATATTGCGAGTCAGTAAATGTAAAGAGTAGTTTTTATTCTGCCTTCATCCTTTTTTTTTCATTTTCTCTTACAGAAGGTGAAGATGATGCACAGCGAAATTCAACAGAACAAAGTGGGGAAGCCCAGGGAGAAGCAGCAAAATCTGAAAGCTAAAGCCCTGCTTTGACCTTTAACAACTCCTGACAATGTGGCAAAATTCCAGGCCTTGCTGGAATGCATTTGTTTCCATGAGTGAAAAGAGGAAAAAGAAAATGGCTGTGCTGTATCACAGGAAACTGCTCATTATGTTAAAAATGGGGGCAGAGGCTGTGGCTGCAGACAGACTTTTCTCTACCTCTGTCATTAGCAATGGTTGAAATCCTGTGGCTTGTGTTTGGATGTCATTTTTGTATGGATCCTTTCACTTGACCATATGATGAAATGCTTGTAGAGAGTAGCACTGACCTAGATGATGATTCCTGTAGCATCTGGCCCCTCACAATGTCAGAGGATTTAATTGTGTCTAATTGGAAAGGGTTGGTTGAACCCAGAGTTTAAACATCTCTGGATCAAGTATTCACCCAGTAAAAGAACCATCTAGAAAGCACCGTTTTTAGCATTATGTATCTGTGTGTTACTGCTGTGTTCTTTACACTGTTTTGTATTGTACAATATAGATGCTCAGCACTGCCCCCTTCTTTGATTGCTTATGAAAAACAAAAGTGATGTACATTACTGTGAATTTTTATACCACTCATTTTTAAAAGGGCTGCCTGGCTTTTTTGTTTGTTTGTTTGTTTTTGTTTTTAATTTTTCATAGTGTGGTGGTGTGCACAGGACAGAACACACTTTTTAATAACATAATCTTTCCCTTCCTTCATTGTGTATTGATGAATTAAGCTGTAACAGTTTCATCAAGACTCATTTGCTTTATTATACAGGCATTTGAAAATATCCACCAATGTGAATATTCCTGAATTCAGTCTGTTTGGAGACTGCACAGACTGGAATTCAATCTGTCAAGTTGTTCTAGTCCTTCCCAATTAGGGGCCTTCTCCCAACCAATGTTGTTAATTTTACTTGGAGAATTGAGAATGTACAAAAGAAAAGCCAAGATAATACCAAGAACTGGAAAATTTGTTCTGTGGAATCAAATGTCTCACAATGTTGTACATTACTATTTAAATTTGGAGAAAAACTTATCTCCACCAGGCTGAAAAGGATGGAGAAAGTGATCTCCTTGCAATCATGTGGACACCAATCACAAAAGTAAAGCCCTTGTGTTGTGTCTTTCATATCTTTTTCCAGCCCTCTCAGATCCAAATGTTATTATGCACTTTTTAATGTTTGTAAACTTTTACTAATAATTAGTTTGAATTGCATTCTGATACAGTAATTATCACCATTAGATGCTAACAAAATTTTCACTAATACTGTTGATAGCCTATGCTGTGTTTTGACATCATGGTTCTTTTATGGAAAGTTTCTGTGACCTGTGTAATCTTTCTGGTCAGTATTATGAAGTCATTTGTCAGTGGTAATAAATAAGGAACCAGTAATATGCCAATGGCTCATGAGTTACTGGACAAATAGCAGACATCAGGAGTCTCTTTACAATTAAGATCCCACTAAGCTGTCCTCAAGGGCTTAGGCACAGTTCCAGCTACAGTAGGTAGTAAATCAGCATTTTAACAGGTAATCTATGTAGTTGTGCTAGGAACTCAGCCTTTCTCTGTAGGTAGGGACAGATTGAAAGGTAAGTCTGCTCACATTTCCCTTTACAGTCATCTTCACTGAATGAGATAAGGGTATGAGTCTCATTATCTTATCCATTAGTTATTACCACACAAAAGAAAGTTAACAATTTAAGTCTTCTAGAAGACAGATTAAATTTTAGGTTACTTCCTTCTATAAAACCCATCAGAGGCCAAAATATCTGGTGAAAATTTAAACAAATCTATCTATTAATATACTCACAAGTGTGAACAGAAGTTTCTGGGACTATTTTAGACTATCTCTGGTAGTCTGTTTCAAGTACCAACCCACATAATTGGTTTTTGATGTCCTCATTTACTATCCTGATGGCTTTCTTGTGGAATTTAAATTTCTCTTCTTCCTTAAAGTTGTAGAATTCCAAACTGATTTCATGTGATTGCTTTGCAAAGTTTAAAATCAGTGCTGAGTATATGTGGAATGTTTATATTCCTATGTGATATACTATTATTAATGCATGTGATGCCATGCGTGTCTTTGAATATATATAAATAGTGCTCGAATGCAAAGTCATATGGAGCTTCATTTGAGTTTGAACACTTACTGCTACTTTGTCTGCTATATTCAAACTCAGAGACATTCCCAAGCTGGGAAGATAAAAATTGACTTTCCAAAACATTCACATCCTTTAAATTTTGTTTAGCAAAAGTACACTGTATCTTCCAAATTTTATTTTAATATTTTTAGTTTGCAAGCCAATAATATGAATGGATCTGAATTTGAGGAGAGGAAGAAAAGATAGGAAACCAAAGGAATTATTTGACAACAGGCACTGGATATCTATTAACTGGCCATTCCTATACTTATCTATTTCCCACATGTTCTCCCATTTATTCCTCAAACAATTCAATTTTAGAGTGGTATCTTTATTTCATTTCACATAGTAGCACTCAATAAGGTATAACTTTTCCAACCTTAAAAAGTGAATAAGTGATAAATTAATATTTGAGTCCATTTGTCTGTGTCCAAGGAACTCTCTATGGCAAATGCCATAATATTAAAAATAGTTAAAGAATATATTTATCTGTAGGTAAGTTCTGGAGAAGGACTTGCACTGCCTCCATTGTTTAGAAAAGAAAACTGAGTACCAAAAAGGGGAACTGCCTTTCTCAAAGTCACCTAAATTGGTAATGATAAAGATGTAACTAGATTATAGAAAGCATACTTCAAAAAAAAGAGTTGATTACAACTTATTTTACAGAGTATACTTCACAGAAGGTATATTTCTGACATGTGGTCTGTAAATTTAGCATTTTTATATTTCTTATGCCAAATGCTACTAATTTTAATTGCCCAGAATCACAATATTTCAGTTTGACTCATTTGCAACAAGTATGAATGTGTCAAACTTATTTTTTATCAATTGTAAACACCCAATGCTGACACAATTTTATCCTATGTTCATACAAATGCTTTTTCCAATCAATGACAGAAATTTCAGCCTCTGATTCTTAGACCAGTACCCCCAGAGCAGCACACTGTACCTGCCCTACACCTGAGATTTACTCAGATATGATGGCAATGTATCATTTTAGAAGATGAATGATATTGCTATTTTCCCTGAAAGAAGTAATAATGGGTAAAGAAATGCTGGGCAGGACTGGCTGGGCAGGAAAGCTTCTGAGTGAAACCTGTAGTAGCAAAGAGAAAATGTATAGTAATCAAGTGAAAACAGGAAAGGACTTGTGGTTTATGATGTCTTAGAATACCCTAAATTGTTCTTTAAGTAAAAGAGTGGCAGTCTCTGCAGTCAATCGTGAGCTTGTATGACTTTTGTATTTAGCAATGTTGCATGCTCACATAATTGATATTAAAGGTAACACATTTTTCTGAAATGTAGTCTATTAAGAGTGTTTATTGAACACATTCTATTGTACTTGGTGCTAGGGAAAGTGCTGCAGGTGATATAGGAGAAATCCAAAACCTCAGCCATCCTGCAGAGGATGTATATATCCTTCTAGGTATGCTTTCCTGACTTTTTCTTCAGTAATATTCATTTCCATTACACTCCGGCAGCCTACTTCTTGGACTTAGTCATCTACCAGAACTATTTCAGCTCTTGGAACTGAAGCCCCAACATCAGACCTATAGTTCTTTTTTGCTCATCTGCAGGGAGGTAATTTCCAATCAAGAGAAAACTGGGTTTTTATCAGGATCCCCTGAAAATTGTTATAACATCCATCCTTTACCCACACGCTCATAAACACATTCACATTTCCCTTAAAATAAATCTCTACATGACTTTAATAACTTTTTCCCTCCCACCTACACCTCCACCACTCAAGAGCCTCTGATGGAGAAGAAATTCAAGGCTCCCATACACCCACCCTGCCTACTCTATTACAAGGCTTACAAATGAGTCAGCAACAAAATGCAGTCCTCACAGAAACCCGTGTTTTATTGCATTAAGGATACCATTTTGGGGTAGAGGAGCAAAGAAAATTTGACCTATTTTCTCTTTGTTATATTATTTTTATTACATATGGGCAGTAAAGGACAAACAGACCAAAGTGGGATTTAAGAGAAGCAGGTTTTGTTTTGTTTTAAATCATGAGATATATTACTCATCTATTTACTGTTTATTTTGCGGTACTGGGAATTGAAAACAGGGTTGCTTTACCACTGAGTTACATCCCCAGTCCTTTTTTATTTCTTATCTTGACCAGCAGAGGCTAGTCTCCAACTTGAGATCCTCCTGCCTCAGCCTCCACAGTCCCTGGATTATAAGCATGCACCACCACATTTGGGGCTAAGCAAGTTCTTAAACCAGAAAAGGGATGTAAATCTTTAAGTTCACCTTATTCCACTCACAAGAATAAAACATTACCTAAGAATATGAAGCAAATGTAATGTGAGCCAGTGAAACAAGCTGCAGAAATGCTAGGGTCTTCTGGGTATTTCTTACATCAGTCTTGTTGAGGATGTAGTCATTCTGACCATCTCTTACTATAAAGTCAAAATGAACAAAACTCTGACCATAACCCACTAAATTTCTAATTTGTACCACAACTCTTTTTATGACCATATCAAGATAATCATTTCCTCAGCAACTTTCCTCCTACTCTATAATCCATTATTAATTTTTTGCCTCAGTGCTCTGGAGTCACTTTATTGTCTCGCTGTCGTCTCTGCCCAAAATAAAACCAGGCAAATTATCTCCCTTATCCTTATTTGCCTCTGGATGGCTGTAAAAAGTTTATAGCAATGCTTATTCATTGCTTGCAACCTCAGTTTAGACTTGAGTGCTGCACAGCTTTCTCTTCATGTCTATAGGGAAAGAGGAAGCTTCTTACTTCCTGGCCAGATTTTATTTCTCCATATGAAGTCTATAAATAATTTTCTTCTGGCCCTAACAAAGGGACTATTAACTGTCCTCTTTTCATTGACTTGACCCTTTTCCACAAATGTGCTCTAGTTTTCAAGTTTCCTTTTACCTTCATTACTTATATTTCTCAAAATAGTAATCTGTTCCCTGTTTTCATGTGCATTTCTTATTATAGTTTAGATGTGAGGTGTCTCCCCCCACAAAAACTTACCTGAGAGACAATGCAAGAAGGTTCAGAGGAGAAATGATTACGTTGTGAGAGCCTTAACCCCATCAGTGAATTTATCCCCTAACAGGGACTAACTGACTGGTAACTAAAGGTAGATAGGTTGTTGCTGGAGGAGGTTTGCATTAGGGGCATGGCCTTAGGGTATATGTTGTCTATCTGGCAAGTGGACTGTCTCTGCTTTCTGATCATCATGTGAGCTGCTTTCCTTTGCCATACTCCTCCATCATGTTGTTCTGCCTCACCTCAGGCCCTAAGGACTGGAGTTGGCTGTCTATGTACTGAGACCTACAAAAATGGGAGCACCAAAATAAACTATTCCTCCTCTACAATTGACTGGTCAGGTCTTTTAGGCATAGTGGCAAAAAAGCTGACTAAAACACTTTTTATCCTTCTGCAATTTGACGTGCAGTTAAGTTTTTCTTAATGACATCTTTAGTAGCACCTAGTTGCTAAGTAATTATCACTGAAGCCATAGCCAATGTGGAAAGTGAAGTAACGATGACTCAGAGGACTCAAACTTTGCCTTAAATATGTTTTTATAATTTTAATTGATATTAGTAGGACTGAGTATAGCTGCATAATCAGGTCTTCTTCAGGATAGAATCCACATCTTTCAAGAAAAAGTCAATTTTCTCTCTAGGATTGCACCTTCTGTAATAAATGGGTATGTTCTTACCCTATGACCACAGTCTCTTCATATAGGGTCTTTATTTATTGTTAACATCTTGAGATCTTGTAGTGCTCACTTTTTGATGGGGGCAATTGTCACATGTGGGCACCAACCTGAAGCCTAGACAAGTAGAGATAGGCAAGATCATCTCATGATGTTTTACATTAGGCTCTGAGATGATGGCCAGTGATACCACTAGTTCCCCTCAACAGCAGTCCTATACAAGCACAGTTGCAGTCCCATTATACTTATTGAATTAAGCCTAAACAGATCAATCCAACTATCAGATTTTTATTAGATTACCCACAGGCATTCAGCTCACTTCACCCTGGACTCTCTTTTGAAATACTTCATTTGCTTACCTGTTTGCTTTTTTTTCTTTTTTGTATTTTTAGTTATTTATTGTTCCTCTCTGACACCTCCTCACTTCTCTTGATTATTGCCACCTTCTCTACTTCCACACTAAACATTGTGTTTCTCTGGGATTCTGTCCTCCTCTTTTTTTTTTTCTTTTGTTGTTCATTTTTTTTAGTTGTATATGGAAACAATACCTTTATCTTTATGTGATGCTGAGGATAGAACCCAGTGTGTCATCCATGCTAGGTGAGTGCTCTACTACTGAGCGCAACCTCAGCCCCCTCATCCCCCTTTTCTAAACCCTTTCTCCAGGTGGTTTCTTTCACATCTATACCATCAACCACCACACAATGGTGAATCTCATATATTCATATCCAGCCCAGAAGTTACTACTGATCATCTGACCTATTAGATAGTTGAACGTTAGTTTACCCACACACACTTTAAAATTCACCATTCCAACATGAAATTCCATTCCCAAACCTGCCTTTCCTCACATGTACCAAATCCCATATAATGGCAATATTGGTTTCCTAGTAACTTTATATCAAAATTCTTAGACCCCTCTTAAATTTTTCCTCTTCCTCTAATTTCTTTATTAGTTCAATTCTAATCCTTCACTATTTCTTGATAAGGTCCACTTCTTTTTGTCTGTACTTCAACCCTTTATATCATCATGTATTTGACATAATAGAATGACTTTCTCATCAGGATCTGCCTCATCCAGCACTCTTCCTATTCATTTTGCAACCAGATGCATCTTTCTAATACATAAGTCTGATCATTTCATTCCCTTGTTTAAAAATCCTTAAGGTTAAGCATACAACTTTTTTGTATGTACGTTTTTTATATACTACATTGACGTGTTATTTTTTTCTTGTTCTCAAAGTCTTCTTCATGCTTGATAGCAAATTTCTTTTGATTCATTCAGATCATGCCTCATTGCATCCTTTCTTTAAAGCTTTTTTGATTTGCTTCCCCATTCCCAAGCCTACCATAGGAAATTAGCTGTTTCATACTCTATGCTTCCGAACACTTCATCAGCAAGTGGACCTCACTACTTACTTATTTGCATGCATTTCCCTTCAATTAGAGTTGAGCTATTTGAGCAGCTCTATATTCATCTTTTCATGTTCATTGTCTAATAAACACTCAATAAATGTTTGTAAATGAATGATGGTGTCCCATGTGAAGCTCAAGATATTGTTAAGAGAGAGAATTTACATATAACGCAATTCAAAGATAAAGTTGATGGCTGAAAATAAAGTCTACAGAATATTGCATTGCAGAAGCCAAAAAGTTTGATTTCTAGCACTTTTTTCTAGTTTGTGCTATACAGTAACTTTATAAATCTGTAACTCAAATTTTATGTTACACAAAATCACAACACACACACACACACACATACACACACATTTGGTATGACTTGCAGAGATAACATGTCCAAAGTATAGTACATAGATAAATGAGTAAATGAGGGGAAGCCACCCAGTTAAATAATAATACTGGTAAAGATATTCGGGGGTATTCTGTTGAATCAGTTTTATGGAATTAAGATTACCCACGAGAAAGAGGTTATACCTATACTCTTGGCCTATACAACACATTTGTCAGAAAGAAAGATCTTCATGAAAGTTTCTTCAAGCCTTAAAAAAATGATATACTATGGTTTCTAAGAATATCTTTAATGAAAATGTACTCATAATATCATAAATAAGTAAAATTTATGGTAAGAATATGATTAGCCTCAATGGTAAGAATTCTTAGAAAACAAAATAAAAATATAAAAGAACCAAGGAACATATATTGATATACTCAAGAAAGTAACCACACTGATATATAATATATAGAGAAACTTAAAGTCTTTTTTGTGACTATCTTTTAAAAACACTGGTAATTAAATAAACATTATAACAGGACTATAGAATTATTATGTACTTTTTGACTTCAAAAGAAAAAATAAGACAGGCAAAGGTAATGATGTAGGTAACTCGTAATTACACATTTGCACTTGCCATGATTCGTTTTACACATCACTTGAATAGGATTGTGTGATTATTATGACTGTCTTATTGAATTTCTAAGTTTTGTTTTATCTCACATACTCTTTGGAATTCACTAAACATGCATAACCATGAAACTTAAGGGTAAAAAGTCATGTAAAAATAGCTATAGCTAAGGAGGAGAACTTAAACAGAACCTGCCTTCTCAGATGGTCCTAAATGAAATCCAGTAAATCACTGAATTGGTTAGG